AGCTCTCCACAGCCAGGAGTGAACTGGCTCAGGGTCACCAGTGGGAGCGCAGCCGCCTCTGCCACCGAGGTTGGATCCTGCCGGGTGCCTGCGCTCTCACCAAGAGCAGGTCCCAGCATTCCTGGGAGAAAAATTGAGCATGAGCAGTATCCAGGCCTAAATTGCTGGTGTAAATGAAGTCTTCCCATGCTCTCTTCCTTGATTTCTTGCCCCAAAATCTCCATTTCCTTGGGCAGACGTGGATTATGTGTCTGTTAGTTTTGCTCAGTGAGATATCAGTGCGTTGATTGAGAACAGCAGAGATGTCTTGATGCCTTTTAAAAATTGAGAGTGTCCCTCCGCTGCCTTTTTAACCCAAAAGAATCCCCAGAAAAGCTCAGGGCAGCTTTGGGGCTGGTTACGGCATGCGCCGAGCTGCTGCACAGGCTGGGACCCTGCTGGCTTTTGGGCATTTCTAACAGCAAGAGCTCCCGGGCGAGCTGGCCGCGTTTCGGGTCCCTGGCTAATGCGATGTGACAGTAAGTGCTGCCGCCGACGGCAGCGGCTTTGGGAGGGGCAGCAGCTCTCCCCCAGCTGCGTGGGGACGCATGGGGCAAGGGAGGAGGGCTCATCGCCAAGTTAAGGGTTCACCTGCTTGCTTTGCCATCCCATCCACCAAAAGTAGGTTGGTCCCTTCAGGGTCTGGGCAGTGCCAAATCCCAGGAGAGAGATGGGGACAAGGAGCCACTGGTGGTTGTCATTGATGATGACCAGCCTCTCCCTGTGCTCCCAAAGCCCTGGTTTGGCATCAGAGACAGAAATTATCCAGAGGAAGGGGTTTCCATCCTCCCCTTCATCCTGGTCAGGCTTCTTGGGCATCTTGTGGCCATTGCCTGCTCTCTTCCAGGTGTGCATCACTTATGAGACGGTCCCGTGCCGAGTGCTGGGGATGGTGCTCAGGTAGGAGCCCTTGATCCTCCTCCACTCTCCAGTGGGATCTGGGCACCACAGTACTCAAAGCCTACCAAAATGGGAGATAAATCAGGTGCTTTTCTCCCTATTGGCTCAACCTTGCTTTTATCTGCTCTCTGCTGGCTTTTCCCTGCCTCCATGTATCAGTGAAAGATCACTGATGGTATGAAGGGTTTGGGGGAGCTGGGCTGGGTCCAGGGGCTGAGCTGGGCCTTGGTTGCACCTCCAGGTATGTGGATGGCCGAGTCTTTGTCACCGAGGTGCTGCCCGAAAGTCAGGCAGAGGTGGATGAGGTGGTGCTGGCTGGTGACATCCTTGATGAGATCAATGGCTCCTCACTGAGAAATGCCTACAGTGGGCAGGTGAGTGGGCACAGAGGGCTGGTGTGACCCCCACATTTCCCCCTCTCCTGCCCCCATTCTGCCCTCCTTCTTCCCCCTGCTCTTCTTCCAGGCTGGGGCTGTGCTGCAGAAGCTGAAGGGACAACCGCTCAGCTTCCGCCTGCTGCGGTGGCGGTGGCACGACGGGGAGGTCTATGAGCCACTGCTGCCCTACCTGAAGGTCCTGAAGGAGAAGGAGCCCCGGTTCCAGCTCCAGCGCAGCCCCTGGCGCAGGGCCGAGGGGGAACTACGGAGGCTGCAGGGGGGCAGGTGGGTCCGATGTCACGGGGAGCTCCTGGGCTGGGATGGGGGTGCTGGAATCAGGGCAGCCCCGCACCCATGCTCTCCCCAGTCTTTTCTCAAGGCTGTAAAACCAAAGCTGCCCCCATGGTCTGGGATCTGCGGGGAGTTGTGAGCATCTTCCCCTGCAAAGAGCAGCAGGAGGACGTGCAAGGTCCTTACTCTGATGTCCCCAAGTCCTTTTCTCCCCAGGCTGCTCTACAACCTGCGGTACCTGGGCCGGACCAGCGTTGGGAAGGTGAGGCAATGGGGCAGAGATGTGCCCAGGGGTAATTGTCTCTTCTGGGTTTGTTTTCATGTCTCTGTGGGTTACTCCCTCCTCCCTGCTCTGTTTCAGTATGGTGGCAAAGAGGTGCTGGACTGGGCCATCCCCACCGTGCTGGAGAGGCACTTGGCAGTGCGGGTGAGTGACGGGGCTTAGGGCATCCCATGAAGGGCTCGGTGAGAAAACTGCAGGGAAATGGGGGCTCTGCCTGGAGATACTTCCTGCTGGCTCCAGGTTTGCTCAGCCTGGCTGAGGATTTGACACCCCACACCCCTGCGGGTTTTTCTTTTCTGGTTAGAAACATCTCTGCAGCCAGGATAGGAAAAAAAAACAACCACCTGCAGGAAAGCACCTGGAAAATGATGGCGAGGCTGAGCCTGGTTCCAGGGGTGCTTTAGGGCTCGGGTGACTGTTGCTTGAGCCCTTTTGGGGGTTGTTCATGAAAAGGTTCCAGCGTGAGAGCACTGGGTGGTGGAAAACAAGCACAGCACAGAGACAGCTTCTTGAAAAAGCTGTGCTAGGCTGTGCTTCATCACCTCTGCTTTCGAATAATCTCTCTTGTGCTTTATTAAAAATAAGGCACTGTGATAACTGGGGCTTCTTCCCCCTCCATCCTCATTCAGGAGGTTTTATTTGATGTGAAGGAAGCAGAAGTCCTTGTACAGGAGAAGACTTCTTCCAAGGTAAGCGAGCAACAGCTGAGGTTTGGGGGACTCTCAAGGCCACTGATCTTGCAGCACGAGGAGCCCAGCTGGAGGGATCGTGGGGCCAGTTTAAGCTGGGAACGGGGACGATGGGGACTGACTGCAACCCTGCACGGTGTCCCTCCTGTCCCCTGCGCAGCTCCTGTGCCGCTACCCCTACCCCACCATCTCCTGCGTGGGACGCTGCACAGACACCAGCAGCTTGTTCGCCTTCTGCGTGGCGTGAGTGCTGCCGTGGGCGCTGGGAGGGGGACTGCGGAGGGGATGTGGGTCTCAGAAAATACCCGAGCGCCGTCCAAGCCCCGGTGCAGGGTCTCTGGTGTGGTTACAAGCCAGGGCTGGGCTTTCAGAGCCACTTGCTCTGCCGGCTGATGGACGCGTTGCCATTTTTAGCTCTTCCCCGGAGAGCCCTGATGGGAGCACGTTCGACTGCCTGGTGTTTGCATCCAGTTCTGAGGAAGAATGCGAGGAAATCATCAGGAGAATCGGTAAGGGTTCATGTCCTCAGCTATCACAGTGAGACTGTGGAGCACCAGCAACTGCTATTCTGGTTCACCACATGTGAGATTTAACGTATGTATTTTTGTTGGGGTTGCTAAGATGAATAGGTACTTTGATACCGTTTCCTGGTGGATTTGGGTTTTGTGTTGGTTGTTTGGGTTGTTGGTTTGTTTTCTTTTTGCTTTTTAAGACTGCTAGACAATGATTTTATTTTAAGAAATAGCTCCTAGGCATACCCAGATGGTTCATTGTTTCCACTAAGAACCTGGAGGAAACGTTTTCGAGAGATGTTATTTTAAAACATACTTTTCCTGCAGGAGCCCAGTCTGCTACTGCATTCCGAAAGCCCATGGCTTGCAAGTCTTATTTTTAAACTGCTTAAGTGCAAGCTGCATGGTGGTTCCCAAATTACATAGGTGCTGGACCACTGAGGACCCTCAAGTCCCTGCCCCGTGTCCTCACACCAGGCTGACTCCCCCCCTCAACAGACCTGTCTGGGGGAGCTGCCTCAGCTCATGGAGCATCAGCTGAAGTTTGAGTCCATGCTTAACTTTGATCCAGGCCTTTAAAGTGATTAAGTTTATAGTGTAGGTGCAAGGAAATCTTTTTCCTTCCAGTGAGGAGGGGGAAAAAAAACCCAAACCTTTGTTGAAAACCTGATCTTGGCTCATTTTAGAACATGCTTTCAGCAGCTTTGTGGCAGATGTGATAGGGGTACTGAGCGGCTGCGGGTGCTTCGAGCACGCTTGGCGTGGCGCGGGCCAGGGCGTCGAGGACGTTGTTTGGTCAGGAGCCTGTTCCTCCAGCTGCAGGGTTTAAGCACACGGAGTGGTTTGTGTGATAAGGGAGAGCCCCAGCCCAGCCCCGAGCTCCTCCGGCAGCGCCCGGGAGCAGGAGCCAGGATGTTTATGAACCGGGCTGCAGAACCTCTGCTCTGCAAGCGCTGGCACAGGCGGCCGGTGCCAACATGCCACCTGTGCTCCGGGACAAACCCTCTGCTCTCCCTCCCCAACGTGCACCTGGAACTGCATCAAAATAAATCAAGATGAGCTGGCTGAACCACTTCCCTGTGCTGCTTTTCTGTGCCAGCTCGGCCTCACTTGTGCAGCCTGCTCTCCAAGAGCTGGAGAGGCAGCCTCCCAGTTCAATTTAAATGTTAATTACCTGTGTTTCAGATGCAGCCCGAGCAGCTCTCCTCCACCACAACCTAAGGAGGTATGGCTGTTCCCAGAGGCACTGGGGAAACCAGGCCTGTCTTAGCCCAGAGCCCTGCGAGCTGCTCTGAAGTGAAGGTTTCAGTATAATCCTGCCTCATCAAAAGAGCTTAAGATGGGAAATGAGAGTCTTACAGAGCACCCATTCCAGCTGCTCAGCAGCCCATATGCTCCCGGGCTGTGTAATTAGCTTCTCCCCTGCACTAGCTGCTGTGATTCACTGGGACTTACTCATGCAGACAGGTCCCACAGGAACTCCCCCACACACCCCAGCACTGACACACTGCTGAGGAAAGGAGCTGGTGAGGTTGCTGTGGGCAGAGCAGTCATGCCACCTCTGTAAACTTCTGCATCTACTGGAAAGTTTAGTTCTAGAGTTGTGCTCAACAGCTGACAAGTAACCACTGGGCTTTGTAAAAAAAACCAAAGCCCCCCAGAGGCTGCTGCTGGGCCTGTCAGGCTGTTCCTCCTCTGCCCCACAGCTGCAAGACTCAGCTCTCCCTGGCCAAGAGCAATGACTCAAGCTAGAAAAGTCTCCAAAAACCTCCGAGGGTGGCCAGGGCAAGTTCTCCATGCTGTTGCCAGAGCAGCAGTCCAGGGTTACAGGCACCTACCGCTGACCTACTGGAGCCAGGAGGAGGAAGCTTCAAGCCCATACAAACCAAATGACAAAGAGTCCTCACAGGTGAATGTAAAACATTTAATTTAAAAATGTTGACACTACAATATATAAAATAGCTATTATAAATGCACATAGTGTATTCTATAGCTGCCAGGTTTACGTTTTTAGGAAACTGTAAGTTACACTGTGGTTAAGACTTGTAGTTTCACCCTCTGAAAAAGTCCACATTTGATCACAGTGATGTATGGTCAGACTAACAGCCCCAATTGTTAAACACTTGGATCAAGTCATAACCAGTTTTATTGCAAAAGGACCCTGTACACATTTATATCAATTCTAGTACCTTACAAGTTTAGCTACCCAACAAGTCATTAACATACAGAAACATGCATGAGAAGCAAGAAAGATCACCCATCCCTTCTGCATATTAGCAACTTGTCACTCCTGAGCACCGAGGCTCACATCACTGAGGTTTATGTGAACAGTCACTTTTAGCATTCATCCTGAGTGAAAGATGGAATGACTTAAGTACAAATGCAACATATTATAAACAATTTCTTACAAAAAAGTCACAAATTAAAACCAAAGTATTTTACAGAATTTACTACAAAACACCATAAAAACAGCCTTCACTTAAGCCCGCTCCCCCCGTATCCTGCGGGCCAACTGGATATCTTTGGGCATGATGGTGACTCTCTTGGCATGGATGGCGCACAGGTTTGTATCTTCAAACAGACCCACCAGATAAGCTTCGCTGGCCTCCTGTTTCAAGAGCACAACAAGAAGAAATGGCGTTAGAAACCCTCAGCGAAGCATGCTCAGCGCCGCGAGCGCCCGGCAGGCCGCTAGCAATACCTGCAGCGCCCCGATGGCTGCACTCTGGAACCTCAAGTCCGTTTTGAAATCTTGGGCGATTTCTCTGACCAGTCGCTGGAAGGGCAGCTTGCGGATCAGC